ATGTCAGTATAATTGTACAAATGAGTATGGTAGTGAGTGTGTTTTTGTGAACCAGAATCAAGCCTGATATTTACACTGTGGCAAATATATTATTTTTAATATTTATAATTTTAAACCCAGAACAAAACTTTAGAGGTCTACAGATGTTTTTTATTTCATTAATTGTGTGGTTTAAAAGTGATGATATTCATATTTAAAATAATTTGATCACGTGTTTAAAAATATTGCTTTCAAGATGAATATAATTTTTATACTGCTTTATATCACAGGGCTTTATGTGGAATAGGTGTTACAGTATATATGTGTTTGCTGTGTTTTTGCACCTCTAGTCCATTGTAGAAAAAGCCTTGAAATTGTAAACACTTTTTACAGTTTTAACCTTTAATTGGGGGACACTTATTTACAGGGGAACATGTCCTGTGTTATCAAAGAATATATTGGTGAACTGCTCACTTTGCTAACTCCTTTTTTTTTTTTTATCTGTGGCTCATTGTCACCATACAGGAGAGCAGTAAGATCAGTAAAAAGCACCTTTCAAACATAATGTCAGAGAACCGATGTATCTTTAGATTCCAAGTTTCCATAGAAATAAAGCATGTAAAGCAAGCTTTTTCACTTTACCTTCACAATTATAAACAAGGGTATCTTAGGTGGATCTGGCCTTAAACAAATAAAAAAAGTATTAACTCTTATATTGCCACCATTTAAGTATAATTCAACTGTCATTATGAGTAAGGACAAGAATATTTAACATTTAGTCAGAAAAGTTCAAATGGATAAACGTTATCTCGAATGTATGGCCAAACCAACACAGGAATGGTTCAACACACACAAAGCTTTATTTCTCCCCTGGCAGCCTCAATAATCCAGCAGCAACCCTATGTGGTTAAAATAAAGGCTATAGTTTCATTGAGCTGTGTCAAAACCATAAATCGAAGATGGAATACAGAGTAGAAATGTATGAAATATTTACATACGTACCCATTTAACAAATCACAAAGGGTATTGTTCTCCACACACTCTGGGGGTCTCACACAGTTGGGGGTTCTGGGTAATCAGAGCATCAATTCTCTAAGCTACAACAACCAGAATAATACATGTGTCTGGTCTATTGTCTGTTTGCAGAGGAGTCTTTAACTGAAATTAAAAGCCTGAAGCACAGGCTTCATATCTGACTAAAAGTGAGCTATAATTTCTTTTGTGTTTTCTAAATTATGGAGTTGGTAAAATAAACTTAAATGATGGTTGTACTGCGATCCCTGTGTGCAATAAAATACAGAGATATTTTATTGTCCCACAGTGTGAGAATTCAGGAGTGACAGTCCTGTTTCAGTTTTGTTAACTCAGGAATTATTTTGTGAAGCATCTGGCGCTCGCTGGACAATTCTATTGTAATTACATTGGCAGAATACAAACTTCATACGGGTTTAACAGGCTGAGAATAATGCAAATATTACATATCTACTAGTTGTTTTCTTTTTAGCACTATGCTGCCCCTCAGTGGTAGATAACAGTTCAACTGAGAAGGCTATAAACTAATACGATTACCTGCTTGTGACACTGTTCAGAGGATAAGAAACAGACATTCCAGTTAGTTTGGACCTCCAGAGGTTCATGTTTAGTCTCAGACTCAGATTGAACAAGATTTCACCAAAAATCTTCTTTGACAGAACATGTGTCTTTTTTGTAAGACATATGGTTTTATGTTTTTAGAGAAAAAAAAAAAACAGCACTGAAAGAGAAAAATAAAAGACACTGCAATGACAAGGATAACGTATAGGTACAAGTCAGGTTGCCAGTGTTCATTTTATTATCTTTCACTCATTCTAATTTTTTCTTTCTTGCATGCTACAATTAGTAGGGGCTTTTATTTATTTTATACCTATATGCTCCTGATGGTTCAAATTATAAAGTATTACTACATATTCTAAAACATAAACAAAGATCAAAACACAATTTTCTAGTTCTGTGTCAGAGTACATGACCACAGACAAAAATCAATAAAAATGCTAATGATATTAAAAAAGACGCTTAGAAGCAAATCACCTACAGTATTAATGGGGCTGTGCCATTAATAAGCATGCCTTGAAACTTTCACTAATCTCTATATCAAATATGTTTGATTTTAGATACACCTAAAGTTGCCAAAGCACTCACAAGTATATACACATGCAAAAAAGAGACTCTGGTATAAGTAAAAGTACTGACTGAACTTCTTTATTTTAGTGAAAAGTGTAGGCTCTATTTTTTTTTAAGCACAAATACATAACTAAGCTTTTTCCCAATATTATGCAAAATATCTTTTTTTAAAACTATACTTAAAAATGTTTTATAAACAGAAAAAGGTTAATTGTCTCTTTTTTTCAATGTCTTGGTAAAGACAATGTAAATATACCGACTCTGTCTACTGTTCTTAAATTAAAATGTCCTTTATTATCTGGTATTCACAGCATTAAAATGGGAAAGAACCTGAAACATAATCAACATTTAGTCGGAATATAAAATCTAACAAAGATGGAATGGATGGGGAAGTTCTTTTCTTTCAGATTCAGAACAATATTTTTCAGCCCCCTATACCCATCCATGTTGCCATCATTGTTTTTTATAAACTAACTGGGCTTCAATTGGACAGAGTCTCATAAAGCTCTTGATTTCCCCTCAGTTTTGTTCAAACTGTCACATATTGTTATCAATACGTATAAACCAAAGGAGTAGAAAGTAGATTAAAGATATTTGTATTTCAATTAAGTGAGTAAATGTCCACAGAGAAAAAATACTCTAGACAGACACACTCAGATAGTAAAGATATTAATACCTATAGTTACTTGACACCTCTAGTTACTCCTTTGTGGGATAATTACAGAGGCGTAGCCAGAACATTTTTATAAGGTTGGCCAGGCAATAACCAATATACACTGAGGGGTGGCCGAAATTGGATAGGCACCAGAACCTCAGGGTCAAGCCTAAGATGAGAATAGCTATAATAATTTTCCTACAGCCTTTGCTAGGACAAAACAAAACAAAAAAACGCATATATTTAAACATCTGTGCTGTGTACATAAAAGGTATAGTGGACAAAATACTTTCAGGTTTGAGTTGTGGGGCAAACATCTTTTCCATTATCATTACTTACCTACTTTTTTCAATACGGTAATAATTCTGCTTAAAATTAATATTTACAAGTACTAATATCTACATAAATTGATTATATAATAGGTTTTTATTAAAATAGTTATTTATCTATGATTTCACTGAAGACTCCTAGATAGGGTGACCATATTTTCATTTGGGAAAACCAGGACACCTTGGAGCGGGGGGGGGGGTTGAAAGAACAAATGTCTCATCATCGGGATTTGCTCCGTGATCAGAGTTTAATATAATACAACTCTATGAATAGTTCCGTCTGAAATTAATGAAAATAGTTGTTTTAATGGTTATTGAGTCAGATATGTGGCGGTAATGTTTGATTAATCTAAAGGTTTTCATCTGTTACTGTGTAAATGAGTTTGGCTGTAATTTAAGGACAGATTCTAATAGATCTGCAGAGTGGGAACTATAAATCTGATAGGAGTTTAATTTTTTTATTGTTGTTTTGCACAATATGCTTAACTAAGTATTTTTTGTTGTTGAATATTAGAGATTTTGCAGATATATTTTTATACATACATTGTTTAGATTTACTTATGTATTTCTAACCCTTTTATAGTATAGAATAGAAAAATCCCTTCATTGTCCCACAATGGGAAAATATACAGCAGCAGAAAGATTATTGAAATGAGGACATTAGAAAAATGTATAAGAATAACATAATAGGGAAGAGTTAAAATATAAACAATAAAATACTGTAAAGTGTTTTAACAATATAAAACTGGAGAATTAATAACCAATATGCAGCTATGGACATTTTTACAGTAGTGGATATTTGAAAATAGCAACATCAGAGATGTGCAGAATGACAGCAGCAGGTTATTTAACTGACTAAGGTTTCTATCATTACATTTGATTTTATTTGTTCCTGCTCCCGCTGGTTGGAACCTTTATTCCACTCTGGATTCTTGTGAGTGTAGTCTTTGTTCACTTCACAATAAAAAAGAAATAAATAAACAGTTTTGAAAACTTATGTATTCATTCTTTTCCTGCTTTGTGTGTCAACTTTCACGGTTGCTAAGCAACAGAGCATACGCCGGTAAAACCCGCCGAAGTGTGGACCTGTTCGAATTTACAGACAAAACTCTTCTGGCCTCCTTATTTTCAAGGACTTCGAAGGATCCAGTCGAGGTAGACCGCGTCGTTGGAGGATGCAGCCCAGGTTTTCGAACCGAGCAAGAGCGTCTGATTAAGAACAGGGCTGCCCGCACTGACGCGGCTCAGGGATTACGTCACACGGAGCGTCGTGCGCAGTGAAATCAGGACATTTCCTCACTTTCTAAAAAAAACCCGGGACGCCCGGGACAGGACGTGAAATACGGATATGTCCCGGGAAATACGGACGTTTGGTCACCCTACTCCTAGATGACTTGCAGAGACATAATTTTTTCTTTACCCCATATAACACAAAATCTAGTTCTGAAAAGAGCATGAATTCATCTTTAATGTTAGTATATTGACTTGTATAATGAAGTACAATGTTTTTGTTTGTCAAGAAATTATGAATAAATGAAAAAATTGTTGGTAATATATGAAAAATTAAAGTTAATATTCCACTAGAAAGTATTACTGCTGCCACCATCTGCATTAGAGGGAAAAAATTGTACCACTGGCCACCCCTGGCCCCCCATCTAGCTCCGCCCCTGGATAATTATAGGCTAGGTCGCTACAAAAGCTTGTTCCGTAAACTGAAATAAATATTTTATCTGTTTAATTTGTGAACCTGTTATGTTATTTTCACCTCGCGGATTTTTTTTTAAACGCCTGGCAAATTACTAAGCGCAAAATCAACTTCGTCGCTGAAGCCAATCAAAAGCACGCTGACGTTACAGCTGTGGTGCATTGTGGTACTTGTAGTTCATGGTCGGTCTGAAGTCAGTCAACCACGCTGCCCTCGCCACTGTGGCGGACTACAGAACTCCTGGTCCTGGTCAGAGGCGGTTCGAGTTGACGGCAGCTTTACTCCTCAAACTACGGCGGTTCAAACGTCGTCCTGCCTGTTTATTTGTATTAATTTATATCGGACCCATTGCTTTTCTTAAGTTGACAACCGGAGCGATGCATTCTGAATCGGGAATAGTTCCAGACTTCGAGGTCGGAGAGGACTTCCAGGACGAGCCTAAAACATACTACGAGTTGAAGAGTCAGCCCCTGAAAAACAGGTCAGTTCGCTGTAAGTGTGGACAGTTATTTACAAGACTGCAGACTGCGCTTTTTGAGTTGAGGAGATAATTAGGCTGTGGAGTTGAGTGAGCGCAGATCCTGCAGCTGGCCATGTCCCTGACAGCTCCGCAGGGATGTTGCTGCAGCTGCTCCCAGCGCTGACCCCTGCAGCCGGACTCAGTCCCTATGATTATCCTGCTGGCATGAAGTTATGCAACACTTGGGTGTTGTCTTGTCAGTATCAACTTTAAATATTAGTTCACACTAGAGCAGACAGGTCAGTTTTTTTTTTCTGTGTGAGATGCTGTGTAGCCTTATATAGGCGGATAGATGATACATATTTTAGAAAGCCACTGATAATTCATGGGAAAAGTTGTTTTTCCAATTAATCAATTAATAACATAGTTATGGTGTAAAATGAAGCTAATGCACCTAGGGCTTTTCTTTAGAGGTGGAATGATGGATGTCTTGTAAGGCAATGGGGCTACTGGGAACAGAGGCGTAGCCAGAAAATCTTAATAAGGGCTGCCAGTCAATAACCAATGTACATTGATTGGTGGCTGAAAGGCACCAGAACCTCAGGGTCAATCTACACTGTTCCAACAGGAACGAGCACAACATCCATTATTTCTAAATTAAGACAGACTATACTTTCTGCAACATTTGCTAACAAATATGGATATATTTAAACATCTACTGTATGCTGTGTAAATAAAAGGTATTGTGGACAAAATTCTTTCAGGTCTGAGTTCTGGGTTGAACATATTTTACATTGTCATTACCTACTTTTATCAATAATCATTCTCCAAATATTTGATATTAAAATCTACTAATATCCACATTTTTTAAGTTATTATTAAAGTAGTTATTTATCTATGATTTCACTGAATACTCCTAGATGACTTGCAGAGGCACATCATTTTATCTTTATTGCAAATAATTCAAAATTTTGTTCTGAAAAGTGCATGAATTCTGTACCTATCATCTTTAATGTTTGTATATTGATGATGTGCATAATTAACTACAGTGTTTCTGTTGTCAAGTAGTTTTTAATATATGAAAAATGTAAATGTTTAGTAAGTACTGCCGCTGCCACTGTCTGTATTAGAGGGAAAAATGGTAGGGGGGGCCACAGGGGTAGCCAATGATTGGCTAAGGGTCGCCATGGCCACCCCTGGCCCCCCATTTAGCTCCTTCCCTGCCTGGGATCCAACGCCCTGCAATAAGGCGCATATATAATTTGCATTTATAGGTGTATCTCAGCAAAATCAGGAATTTATCAAGTCATATTTTGTCAACAGTCATTCAAAAGTCAAACATATTTTCTGGGTCACAGAGTTAACTCAAGCAATTTTACTCTCTTAAGTCTGATAATTCTGTTTTCTCAGAAAATACCTACTTTTTTAAAGACGATTAAATGAGTATTTTTTTAAACTGTACTTTTACTATGGCAATGAATTTGTCTCTACCGTGCATCATTTGCCCTTAAAACTTTTTTGGGATGCCTTTTAAAGGAATTGCAAAAGTGTGGCATGTCTTGGATAGTTTTTTTGTGTCTGAGGCTGCATCCATGCAAAGTTCAAATGGCTATCTGCACAGAAAAAAGCTTAGGGATAAAGATGAAACCACCTGAAACTGTTATATGTGTTGTAATATTTATGCCATTGGTGGTGCATCAGGCCAGCCACAGAAGTTAAGAAGGTAGAAGAGGGAAGGGAAAAAGTGGAATTTAAAGAATGAATGTAGAAGAGGTAAAGGAATGGCATCTATGTGGACAATTGCTGGAGGAGTAGGGCGAAACAATTTAGCAAAAATCAAAATTGTGATATTTTAAATATTATTTTGTATGAAAATGCAACTGTGATTTTATTTAGATTTTCCTTTGCACCAACCACAATCATGTAGATGTTTCACTCCAGGGTTTTCATTTTCATGAGTTTGAAAGTATGCTTGTCCAGAACCCATTTTTGTAGGACTTAACTGTTACCTTTGTGTAGAAAATGTCTCACTTTTATGGTGCAATCTATTTCAGAGGCTGCATCCTCCAAGGACCTAGTAGAGCTTTAATATAACCCAAAATGTAAATGGTGTGATTGGTTCCAGTGGAGCATGTTTGATAAGATGCCTATATTTCAAAATATAGTTCAATGGCAAATTGCTTTTTCAAGTTGACAGACTTGACCATCGGACTTTACTCTGCATTCAGTCATTCACCCATTCATGCACATGGTGATGGTGGCAAGCAACATTGTAGCCACAGCTGTATGGGGGCTCACTGACAGGAGAGAGGCTGCCATACACTGGCACCACCAGTCCCTCTGACCACCATCAGTGTCTTGCCCAAGGACAAAACAACATGGAAAGCCAGAGCTCGGGTCGACCCTTCGGCTGAAGGGCGAAGGGTCGCCAATGTTGCATCTGATATAATGAAGATGTGTCTTTTTGTTGCACCTTTACACAGTTTAATAGGCCTACAGTATTTTGAAAACCATTTAACTCTTCTCTGTAGAATTACTGCCTGTAAAATGCTAATCACTCAATCTGACTAAAGACACACTGCTGTCGCACAGTAACAGGGACTTCAGCCACTACAGGAGATCCTTTCAGCCTATAGCCATCCAAATAAATAATGACTCATTAAAGAAACAATTATCATATTAGTTATGATATTTAGTTTCTTTTTGGAATTGATGAAGTAATTTTGAATTGAAATAAATGAATTGCCTAAATCTGCCATTTAAACAAGGACATGCAGTACAATGTCAGCAGCCTTTTAACAACTTTTATCCACTGATCTCAACTGTTTTCATTGGATTGTAACAATTCTAACATATAAATGCCATGTTAATCCTTTCAAGTTATAACTCTTTAATGAGAGGATCACACGATCCTGCTGCTACTAAGGTGGAACGAACAACAGCGGGGTCCAATCCACAGCCTTAGGGTCCACAGATTTGAAAATATAATGGTGCAACCTTTTTTGATGAAATCCTAGTTTTATTTGACCTGTTACTTTGGCTGCTTAAACTGCATGTCATGTATAAGTAACCGGCGCAAGTGTGCAAAAGATTTGAAAGGCTATGCTTTTAAAAAACAGCTTTTTTTTTTTTATTATATTTTTTCCAGATTAATCTCTCAAAACTCACAGTTTTAAAGTGTTTACAAATAATATCTCAGAATGCATGAAAAGTACACTGGTCAAAATGTTTACCAATATAGACATGTTAGGCATCGTTGGAAAGCTTAGATTCTCTACAATTTAACCGCATAGTTAATTTTATGGACGTAGCGAGCACCAAACCACAATTAACACAGATATAGCAGCATGTCAAAATGTACCATGACACAGCAGTCACAACAAACAAGCATGTCTTTATAACTGCTGTTTAAAAAAGACCTAATATTTTCAAGAATTAAAGAAAAAATACTTTGAGTCTTGTTTGAACTGATGCCGCTCAGATGTTTAACTCACCCAATTTTCATGTATATATTCAGAAACTAGAAGGTGTTAGCTTTTAAATAATATATCACACAGGTAATTTGGGCTTACAGTTCCTAAGGTACCTTCTTTTCCATTTGAGCATGCAAAATAGGTGAGAATTTCCCAAAATGAGTGAGGTTCTATTACTAAGGCAAGGCAAACGTAAAGCTTGAGACTTTCAGTTCATGGGTGATAATGAATAACATACATATAAATCAGGCATTGCATGGTTCTACAGTAAGTCTGATAATTCATATTTTATTATTGAAATTAATTGTTTTAGAGAAAATTAGATTATGTATTAATACTGTTGGTCTGTATAAAACATTTTGACTTTTACTCATCGATATACCATGTGAAACATATACTGTCATCCCTTCAATGTTGTGATAATTACTGAAGAAACTGTTTTTTTATTGTAATTTTATTTTCAGCATCAATTGAGTTATCACGGTGATAAATACCAGAGTAGATAATATAAAGAAAATGTAATACAATTTAGAGCTATTATTTTGATCACTTGCACTTCCTCTTTTCTGAAAAACACTACAGAGTATAACTGTTTCTTAATTCAGCCTAATAATGTCTATTATTTTCCTAACCATTTTACTGTCTCTTCAGACTTCAGACTCTTTCACTTTTTCATCTGTCTGCTTTGTTGTAGTATTTAAATTATTATAATGCAAGATATTGCATGAATTCTGTCCCCAGTAGTTGATCATTATCAGAGGGTTTATTTGATGCTTTTTAAAATGTTGTCTTAACAAGCAGTATGTGAGAAAGTGTATACAACCCTGGAAAGCCTCTGTGACGGATTCAGAAAGAGTCAGGAGATAAACAGTCTGAATGAAATCACTGTTCCTTTTCCCGAAATCCACACTGTTAAAAACAGAAAACATGGAAGACTGACATGTTTACTTGACTTGACCTTTACACTATTTCTATGGTGTTGTGTAAAACATCTGACTCTTTGAGTGAAACACTTTTGAGACTTACTATGACTAATCCACTTATTTATCTTGTGTTTTATATAAGCACACCACAGTGTTGAGGTTGTAAACTCTGCCTTTTCAGTGGATCACAAGCTGAAAACTGAATAGATTTTTGGTTTTGCTCTCTGTAGCAGATTTTCACTTCAGCTCCTTGTTTTTTAACTTTCAGAGTGGAAAACATCATCATGGACAGTCCCAACCTTTAACCCAGTTCTGCATTTTTTAAACTAATGCCTTCAATTTCTTGATTAGTGAAATGTCATTACACTGTTCCACACACACACACAGTGGAGTCTGAGCTGTTATTGCAGACAGGGTTTTGGCAGCGGTGAATCCCAGCTGAGCTATCTGCAGCACATTGTTTCAGAATACGTGAAGCTGCCTTAAGCATTGTTCGAATAAAGGTGTCCCACTTCCTCTTCCCATCACATGAATATGACCTAGCAAAATAATAGTCACGATGACTGTGATGTGTTATTGCGCAAGCTAGATAATTTTAGTCTCATCCATCCCTTCTAACAGCTGG